TAATCAGATCTCCTCTAACTTTTCTTTTTTTTGAAGAGAAAACAATTTCAGAGATCTCAATCTCTCATCATATGATAACCCCTCCATTCCAGACACCATTCTAGTAACCCTTTCCAACAATTCCTAAAGTAAGAGCCCAAGACTAAATACAATACACCAAATGTGGCCGAATCAGTGACACGTACAATGAAATTATAACCTCTTTAGACTTGTATTTAATATTTCTGTAGATACAACCTAAAATCCTATTTGCCCTACCACTAGCAACAGCACACTGCTTGGATGGCTTAAGAGACTGATCAACTATTATAGTTAACTAGTCTAGAGCATATTAAGCAACTTTACAATCCAATTAAAAGAATATGCTGATCAAAACATTAATATAAAACACTGTATATATGATTCATTTTAAATCACTCAACTTCAGCATTATATTTGTGTTATGTTTACATCTGTCATTTCAGAAAACAAAATTCTAGCCTCCTCAGTTACAATTTACAGCGTAAATGCTAAGGTACTTTGTTAGATTTACAAACGCGACCATACACTTATTTTGTAAAAATGTTAAGTTTGTGTGTTTGACTAGTGAATAAATTTATTGAAGGGAAAACTGGCCTTCTGCCACATGACTGTACACTACTAACAAAATTTTACTACGACATGAAAGAAAAACATAAAATATGAAATTTCTAAGTTGGTCTATATTGGTCAGTTTTCAAACTGTGGTATATGGATCTAATAATGGTAGTATGCAAAAAAAATTAATATAAAAATTATAAAACTTGTAATAAGCCCACTGAGCTTCCATATATATACATTATTATCCTCACTTCTAAACTCATCCTCCACTTGCATAGGCACAGTGTTTTTTTTTAATGTGGTAAAAATCACACTACATATTCAACTGTGTCAGGAAAAATAATCACTTCTTCCCATTGTATTTAAAATATTCAAAAAATTAGGCCTAAGTTTGTACTTCAAAAAAAAAAGTAAACAAAAAATGGTTGTGAACCTAAAGTTTGAGAACAAGTCTATAGGATAATCAGCTGTGAACAAAGGTTATACACTAAGAATTTGTTTAAAGTAAAAGTTGCTACAGAATTTCTTCTTAATATAAACTATCTTTAATACACATTTTACACACAATGTTGTCTTTATACCTGAAGAAAGATCATACATGTCTGCCATTACTTTTACAACCAAAGAATGAAAATAAGTAATAAATCTAGTAACATTCATTCTTAAAGTAACTTCTTATAACTTGAAGAACAGTATGCACCAAATTGGTCCGAAACGCTTCACATTAATCGCACTGAGAAGCTAACATTTTATTTTTTACAAAACAAGATTACAATACAACCAAAACTAATTGAAATGATGCATATCATTTAACACTAAAAGTTATTTAATACTTGTAGAAATTATGTTCTGCTTACAAATATACCATAGCTGATAGTAGAGACAAGGTTTGAAGTATATATTTAACTGTATAGTAGATATACAATCATGTTTTAGCACTTCATAATGTATATATATACACACATACACGTGCATAGGCTAATTCCATAAGCTCTATTAGCAGGAACACTATAAATAAGTGGAACTATAAAGTTATTTTTAAGAATGAGTACATACAACATATTTTTCAATCTGCATACTCAGGTTGGGAAATATCATGGCCAGTCTGCAACATTGTGAATTGGTTAACAAAATCATCAGCTTTTTCTGGAGTTAATTTCTTGACAGCTCTCCAGTAAATTTTTCCACAATTTTCAGGTTTGCCTTTCGCATGTGAAAGTTCAAGACGAATGTAATCTATCCACAGGTCAACGTCTATCTCACCAAAATCGAGTAGGGCATCCTCAAAATATGTTCTGAGATGTTTGATAGGAGGCTTAAGTTGCGCATTTTCAATGCTGATCATTTTCCTAAAGAAACCTAACGAAAGTGGTCTTATATTTTTCAATCTTCCATACAAACATCTAGCAGAAGCAATACCATCTTTTAACGATACAATCTCCAAGTACAATTCCTTCATTGGAAGGCTAATAACAGGACAATTTACACCGATACCATTTTCCAAAAGATCTTTTAATTTTTCTGGGCAGGCAACCGTTGTCCACTCTACACCTAACTTCCAAATTGGAAGGGCATCTTTATCTGGTACTTTTTTAATTGCATCATTAAACAAAGTTGAAACAGTTTCTTTAACTGTTTTAGACTGAACATGAAGCTGAATACAAAACAGCCAAACATCTGTATTTGTGCTCCACTTCTGAGCTACTCTGATAGACAACTCTTTGGCCTCTTCAACTTTATCAAAAGTATTCAAGAGTCGAGCCCATTCAAGATACAAATCTTGGGCCAAAAGGTCTTCTTCAGAAGCTCGCTTCATAAGTTCAAAGATTTTCCCAATTTTTTTCTTGAGAGATTTTTCTGACTTTGATTTCTGAAGTCTTTCTAATGCTGTTTGAAGATATAAACTCCACATCTTTTTTGTATGAATATTTTGTAAACCCTTCTCATAAATTGAAAATGCTTCAGTTTCCAGTTGTTTAGCAGCTTTATGTTTTGGTAAGCTTTCATCTACATGACTGGAAACTTTTTTCTTTTCCAAGATCCTTTTTGCCATTACATGCCACACTATTTCCTTATCTACGTGCCTAGATTGCACGTGATTAATTATCTGGTTTTCGTGTTCTTCAGTAAAGTCAAATTCACAACAGATAGGAAGAAAAGACAGTGCAAATTCAACATCAGGAATGGTTTCAGTTGCTTGGTTAAAAACAACCATTGCAATCTTTCCCTGAAATACTGCATCTTTTACATCACTTGTATCCTTCACTCCAAGAATTTCTCTTCTTTTTCGAATCTGATCAGTGTACATCAGCTCCATCCGATAATATTCTTGCCACAGTAGCTGCACATCAGGATGGAAACGAATAGCTCGTTGCAAAAGGCTACGTGCATTTTCAGGTGCGTTATTTTCTTCCAATTCCCATTTTGCAGCAGATAACCATATAGCAGGATTTTTGTTATGCACTTGCAACATTCTCGAAAACATTCCACTAATTGAGAAATTCCACTTCATTCTCTTACAAAATTCAATATGCGACAACCACAGTTTCACATCACTTTGAAATCGATAAATGGCTGCTTTGAAAAGTTTTGTAATTCGAACAGCAATTGCGTTATCAATTTCCTTTTTTTTATAAAAGCAATTCATTTTCTCTCGCCGCTTTCGAATTAAACTAAGTAATTTTATTTCATACTGAATATATTTCAAATAGTTCTCTTTAGTCTTCAGCCTACTCTGAAGTCGGTATTCCATTGCCCTGCGTTTACGAATAATCTTTTTTATTTCTCCTCTAGTGAATAACCCAATTCTTTCCATTTGCTCTAACTCTGGAATTATTCTCTCCACGTGCCTTTGAACGAACTCAGCCATCTTATTTTTCTTTTCTAAATTACGCTAAATTATTTTAAACAAACGGAGTCTTGATTATTACTTCTTATTATCAAAATCACCCGTTGAAAGCGATTAACTTTTGTTTTTAAAATTTTCTTAATGATTTAAAAACATAGAAACTTCTAACAACCTCCTGAGCTAAACATATACCGCTGATTCAAAAATTCAATTATCCCCAAAACGCCGATATGGAGCACATTTAGCGCCATCTAGGACTTTTAGTTTATTTGTTTATTTACGTAGCATATATTTTTCATTTTTGTGAAAATTCATATAACACTGATTTTTAATTTAAATGATTTAAAGAGGCTTTGTTTAAATTTTAAATATTCCCAGTGAAACAGTGGTAAATTTACGGACTTACGACTCCCCACGGTGGACACAGGAAATAGCCCAATGTGACTTTTGTTCTGAAAAAAACAACAACAAAGAATAAATTTCAAATCCGCCTCCATAATTATGGATATAAACAACAACAAAAATTCTCCATAATAGAACAAATATAGAAATTGGTGGCCCAAAATATATTCCTATGAATA